TCAAGGAAGTTCTGTGTGCCAAGTTTGGTTTAATTCCATCGTTGGTGGAGTTCAGAATGCTCTTTGATTGTAGGTGAGTTATAAATCCCACAAAATTTCGTCCAGTGAATGAAAATACATTCTCTGTATCAGATATTTACATTATGATTAATAACAGTAGCAAAATTAGAGTTGTGAAGTAGCAACAGAAATAATTTTATGGTTGAGGGTCACCACAACATGTATTAAGGGGTCACGGATTTGAAAGATTGAGAATCACTATTGTAGAGAGAGGTGAAAGATGATGGCCAAGATTCCTTTTCCCTCTACTTAGAGAATTGTAAAGTTGCTGGAAGTAGTCCTCACATCTCTACTGGTTTCCTCCTTCTCCTCCTCCTGTCTAATGGTGGTTGCTGCTTTCCCAAGTCTTTACAACTACTATTGGGGGCAGAGTTTTGGACAGAATGAAAGTGACTAGTAAATAGCTGCTTTCATCCTATCCAAGAATAGATGCATGTACAGACAAACTGAAGAATTTGTCGCTGAGATCCCCTATGTTGTCAATGTTCTAACATTGTAGATAGGTCTTATAATATCTGCCACCCAACTTCATAAACACCCCATATTTGTAGCCTGATGGCACTCTGACCAAAGTGTTTTTATTATCAAAGCCCTGGTGGGAAATTGTGTCTTCAACACTTTCCTGGACTTGGCGTGGAACCAGCATGCCCAGGTTTCTCTAGTCGCCTTTGTAAATGTAAAACTTAATCGTTTTTTAAGCTATTGTTTTAATGAGATTTTAACTGAAATGTTTTAATCGTAACCTCTAATTTTATTTTATTATATTTTGTAGGTTTTAAAATTGTACCATTTCTAATGTGTCTCTGTCCTGAGAGAAAAGCATGGCACAAACGCGACAGAGGGGGAGGAGGACAATCACTCAAGAGATCTCTCAGAGTTGTGCAACTCTGTTTATTCCTAGGCACCCTTGGAGAGTGTGGCGGGCATCATTTCACAACACCTTAATCTCAAGTTCCTTTGAAATGTTTCAGTCAGAGTGCAGCCAAGCTCCAAAGGTCAATTTGGAAGTCACATTTGGTCATTCAATACTGCAAATGTGGAAACCACCTTATGATCTTCTAACTGCTAAAGAAGATGTTGATCTAATGGCTGGATTTGATTCAGAATGAAGGTGCCTCTATTCTACACTATAAAAATAATGCAGTTTGACACTGCTTTAGCTGCCAGGACTAAAAGCTATGAAATTGTGGGTGTTAGTTTAGTGAAGCACTCTAAAGACCTTGTAAAGCTACAATTTCTTCATTCCCACAGCATTTAAAGTGGTGTCAAACTGTATTAATTCTCCAGTTTAGATGGACCTTGAGTCATATTTACATGAGTCTTGTTGAGGTCAATACTTTTCGATCAATAATTTGGTGTTAGTCCTCTGTGTAAACTCCCCTTTCCTAATTGTAGGTCTCTATCAGTTCATATAAATTGTTTCCCTTCTTTCCTTTCTAAAAAAGCAACACAGTTAAATAAAGGTATTTCATAATTCCATAAAATTCATTCCCAAAGCAATTCTCCTTACCCAGACCTGAGTGCTCCATGGAAACATGAGGACAATCTGTAGACCAGTGGTCCTCAAACTACAGCCCAAGGGCTGGATGCGGCCCTCCAAGATCATTTACCCGGCCCTCACTCAGGGTCAGCCTAAATCTGAAATGACTTGAAAACAAACAACAACAACAACAATCCTATCTCATCAGCCAAAATCAGGTCCACACTTCCCATTGAAATACTACTAAGTTTATATTTGTTAAAATTGTTCATTTTAATTATTGTATTGTTTTAAAGTGGTTTTGCACTACAAATAAGATATGTGCAGTGTGCATAGGAATTCATTCATGCTTTTTTCAAATTATAATCCGGCCCTCCAACAGTATGAGGGACTGTGACCTGGCCCTCTGTTTAAAAAGTTTGAGGACCCCTGCTGTAGACAATACATAAGCATGAGCCAGTACAGTGGAACCTCAACTTATGAGCGTCCCAACCTAAGAGTGTTTTGAATTAAGAGCCGTTGCTCAGTCCATGCACTAGCACGAGAGTTCAGGACTTTAGAGCTTCAATGAAGCAGCCTTCGTGATTTGTGCCTTGTTCACTTTTCCACTTTGGGAGATTGTTGTCTGATTTGCTCATGTTTGCTTTGAGAAACCTTGTCTTAGTTGATTTTGTGTAGTTTTTTATTCCTCATATGTTTGGGAGAGATAGAGAGCAAGAGAAGGAAGGAGGCTGTAATGAGTCCAGTATGAAGAAAATGATGCTTCTGCCTCTCCACTTTGTGCTTCCTTGTCACAACTTTGTGCCTCTACCATTTTAAAGTTGATCTTTCTTTTCAATTGTTCCATATGAATGTGCAGGTTTTGACTTGCTGTTACACTGGCCAACATGCATGTCATTGCCTCAAATGTGCTTCCTTGCCACAACTTTGTGCTTCTACCATTTTAAAGTTGGCCTTTAATTTTTTTATCGTTTCATATGCATTTATAAATTGTTTGTTATTTATAAAGTACATTTTCTTATTTAAAAACATGCAACAAAAATGGGGGGGGGGGGGGGTCCGAAGAGCTGGAACAAATTAATAGCATTTCAATGCATTTCAATGGGAAAATTCAATTTGAGATAAGAGTGATTTGGATTAAGGGTTCAGACACAGGACGAATTAAATTCTTAACTCAAGGTATCACTGTAATCAAGATTKTGCTAAAGTGGCCTTGCCCCAGGTTGCCCTGAARCAGCCCTATGTGGTGTATAGTCACCAGAAATTTGATCCACATCTACACTGATATAAATGGTTGTGTAGATRTGTGCCCAGTCACCCAATGAAGTTCTTGGCTGAATTCTAAAATCAGAATTGTAAATAAAGAGCAACTCTAAAAAAAACAGGGGAATTCCAGACAAGAGTAAATCAGGGCCAGCTAACACCTCCCAACAAAGGATTCACCAAGCAGCAACCAGCCAGGCTTTGAAGCTGCAAGGTAATTAAATGTTAATCAAGCTGGCCAATTGCAACACACATTTGCCTCAAGCAGACAAGAGCTCTTTCTCCCACCCTAGACATTTCTCAGATATATAAATCTCACTTGCCTAGTTTCCAATAGACCTCACAACCTCTGAGGATGCCTGCCATAGATGTTGGTGAAACGTAAGAAGAGAATGTCACAAGAAATTCAATGTGCAGATTTGATAAATATGAATTTAATATGATGTGTGGGAATGAATGGAAGAATGGAATGATGTGTGGTTGGAGTTAATAATTTTAGAAACACCAGTATAATATTAAGGCCTGCAATGACTAACTACCTGCTTGCTGGAACTGTGATCAAAACCTGCTAATGAGAATGGATAACAACTGTGACAATGATTCTTTCAAGTTAAGGAAATGTTTGCAACATTCCTTATGTTAAGAAGGAAGTCAACATAAGATCAACACCAATCAAGAAGATCAACATCTGGCCAGGAAACTGAGATGGAGCCAGGATGGAAGACGTCTGTCATTAATTTATAACTTTGGGACTACATCAACAGAACATTCCTATAAAAGACTCAGTCTAATAATGCCCAAAGTGTGACCGACCTGAGGAGTCTGGTTCACCCGCTATGTTCTGCTCCATTGGAAGGAGAAAGATAGTGTACCTATGGATAGTGGCAAATCTGCACAGAAGCAGTCTGGTCACTTTGGGGCTTCTTTTTCAAGGGAAGAGGAAGAAGTGTGCTTTTGGAGTCTTGGATTTTGTGCAGGGAGTCAGGTTCTGCTGTATGGAAAACAGAGATCTAGTGCTTGGCATTGTTCTTAAGGAAAGAAGTTTTGGCATTTGGGCGTTTTGAAGTTTTGGCGTTATGGAAGTTTTGGAACTATGCATTGGCAGGCTGCAGGAAAGCAGCGTTTGGCCTAACAGGTGCTTCTCCAAGGAGGGAGAAAAGGATATGGTAATATTTTGGATGCATGTGGATGAATGCGTGTACGTGTGTGAATGTTGAGTGAAAATGTAATTCCACTTTGTTTGTTCGTTAACCAATGTAATTGTAAATCCAATGTAATTGCATAGAATCTGTATGTCATTCTTTGTCTAAATGTTTTCTGTAATCTGATATACCCTCTCACACTGGAAATTGCAAAAAAAAAAAAGAAGAATCTATGCTTTAAAATTATTGAAAAGTCATTCATGGCAAGAATGCTTCTGGAACATGGCCATACAGCCTGGAAAACTCACAGCAACCCAGGAAATTTTAATCCAAGTGTGTCCTGATTGAACCAACCCTGCTTATCACCATTACACCACTTGCTGGATGAAAAATGAATGCAGACCTTAACAACAAAAAATATCCTCTTTAATCACAAAAGAATTATGTTCAGTCTCACTGCAAAACTCTGCTGGACTTCCGTTTTTCCACTTGCAGGAAACAAACACCAATGAGTGATTCCAGTGGACACAAAAAATAATGGCTGCCATAAACCAGAATTAGCCTTCACGTGTATTTTCAAACAATCATTTAGTTGCTCCAAAATGTCTTCAGGTCCATGTGCTTCCTACTGGTCCTTTTCGCTCCTTCTCATGTCCTGGATTGGGCAAATTGTGGTTTTTCTAATAGCCCATCATTGGGTTTATATACATCACAGTTTGTCTCAAAGGCCACTCTCTTTTTTTTCTAGAGCAGAGACAAATAATATGTTGCCTCCCTACAAAAAGATATACCTACTTTACCTTGTTTGGGCACAACAAGATACAGGGGTTTGATCTGATTGGAAGAGGAGGAGTGGACCTGAAATCCACTATTGATGGTCAAACCATGGGATCTGGCAACTACATATGAACTGTAACAATAAATTCATTGTAATTCACTGTGCCACCCTTCCGATACTCCCAATAAAGTTACATGACACCCAACTATAAGACAAAAACAAACCAATTCTTGAAATAGTCATCTACAAAACCAGACAATCTGCTACTTATAGTTCTTCATATATCTAGGGAAGACTGGATCCATTGCTCAGAGACAATTGTTTTGTGAGTCAGTACTAGCAGTATACCTAGAGGAGGAAGAGAAAAAGAACTTATTTCATGGTTACTAAGATAAGGTACATTTCTTGCTTGTTTCATAGGAAAATGTAATGGTAATAAGCACTGTTTAACAAGGGAATAGACTACCTTGGAATGTGGTGTAATCTCTTCCACTGCAAATATTTAAGAAGACGTTTTAGTTGTGGATATTAGATATAGCTGGAATTTGGGCCAGGTGACCCTTGGAGTCTCTTGAAGCTCTATAATTTGAAACATCCAAAGTTCATTTCACGTTACATTACAATTCCACTTTGTCATGATTCCATCAAGGATTTCCAGTATATCTGTGTTTGGGATGATCATCCAGAGAGCCCTGGTGCATCAACAAATGACAAACCTTCAACTTCTATTAGATGACTCTATGGACTTCTCCTGAAAGGACTTCAGGAGATACAATCATAGAATCATAGAGTTGGAAGAGACCTCATGGGCCATCCAGTCCAACCCCCTGCCAAGAAGCAGGAATCACATTAAATGCACCTGGACAGATGGCCATCCAGCCTGTTTAAAAGCCTCCAAACAAAGAGCCAMCATCACACTCCAGAGCAGAGAGTTCCACWGTTGAACAATTCTCACAGTTAGGAAGTTGGATTGTCGAAGGCTTTCATGGCCAGAATTCCRCCTGAACACGAGGAAAAACTTCCTAACTGGGTTGTTGTAGGTTTTCTGGACTGTATGGCCATGTTCCAAAAGCATTCTCTCTTGACATTTCTCCTGCATCTATGGCAGACATCCTCAGAGGTTGTGAGGTCTCGCAACCTCTGAGGATGCCTGCCGTAGATGAAGCCGAAATGTCAGGAGAGAATGCTTCTAGAAAATGGCCATACAGGCTGAAAAACCTACAATGACCCAGTTAGGAAGTTCTTCCTCATGTTCTGGTGGAATCTCCTTTCTTGCAGTTTGAAGTAATTGTTCCGTGTCCTGGTCTCCCGGGCAACAGAAAACAAGCTTTCTCCCTATGATTTCCCCTCACATATTTATACATGGCCCTCATCTTGTCTCCTCTCAACCTTCTCTTCTGCAGGCTAAACATGCCCAGCTCTTTAAGCCACTCCTCACAGGGCTTATTCTCCAGACCCTTGATTATTTTAGTTACCCTTCTCTGGAGACATTCCAGCTTGTCATCATCTCTCTTCAATTGTGGTGCCCAGAACTGGACACAGCGTGATTCCAGGTGTGGCCTGACCAAAGCAGAATAGAGGGGTAGCATGACTTCGCTGGATCTAGACATTAGACTCCTATTTATGCAAGCCAAAATTCTATTAGCTTTCTTTGCCGTCGTATGACATTGTTGGCTCATGTTTACCTTCTTGTCCACGAGGACTTCAAGATCTTTTTCACACGTACTGCTGTTGAGCCAGTCGTCCTCCATTCTGTATATTTGCACATAAAGATATAAAGAAGTACAAACCTACAGGACCTATCTTGTTCATTACTTGCGGGCTGCCCATACTAGAAAAATTGTGCAACAGAAGGTCTGAAAAAAAGTTTTGCGGTGTGGTTTCCAGAGATCTCCAGCTGCACGTAAATGTTGCAACTGCTTTAAAGTAGAAACCAACTGACCTGAAAGTCCTGGGTCACAAATACAACTCACCAGTCATTGCATACAAAGGAATGGAGGCCCAGCCCAAGCCGTAAGAGGAACCAAATATGAGTAAAAATTCTGTGTAAGCTTTGGATCTCCTGTAAAAAGTTGTGAAAATAGACATGCCAATCATGATGAGGAAGCCTATAACCAAAGGAGAGAAACAGAAGTTATGTGAAAATAATGTATTTCTTTCCTTCTTTTGTTTATTCATCACCTCTCAACCTATCAGACCACCACCCCACTCCCAAGCTGATGCTATATGAATGTCAAAACTTGAGACATGAAATACATAATTAAAATTCAATTAAGATATTCCAAAATTCCTATTTGAATATAGTTCTAAAATCAGACAATTAAAAGCAAATTTGAAAATGGCCAGATCAAATTCCCTTAAGTGAAGAACCAGACATAGTAAAGTCTTTGTTGACTGTTAGACACTTCAAAAAGATGGAGTAAGTATGATCTCTCTTGGAAAGCATTTCAGAATGAGGGCTTTGCACCCAACTGTAGCTTCTGAATAGCTTCTTAGCCTTTTGGCTAAGATCAAGTGTGTAACTTCTGAATACCTTTCAATGGGAGCCTCTATTATAAGTGGAAGTTAATTAAAGTTTGAACTGCTGTGGTCAGTTCTACTCTCTCCAGGAAAGGAGCATCATCTGAAGTGGACTAAGGACTTTATCACACGGGCAAATTTACGCACTGTACAATGCTTTCCGCACAGTTCAGCCCAACAGTGTCTATCAAACAATGTACAGCTCCCTCCAGTGAGGCTCTGTCCCTGAACTGTGCTGAAAGTGTAATATGAGGGAGCAATGAGAATAATAGAATCATAGAATCCTAGAGTTGGAAGAGACCTTGTGGGCCATCCAGTCCAACCTTCTGCCAAGAAGCAGGAAAACTGCATTCAAAGCACCCCCGACAGATGGCCATCCAGCCTCTGTTAAAAAGYCTCCAAAGAAGGAGCCTCCACCACACTCCAGGGCAGAGAGTTCCACTGCTGAAGAGCTYTCACAGTTAGGAAGTTCTTCCTAATGTTTAGGTGAAATCTTGTTTCCTGTAGTTTGAAGACATTGTTCCATTGCTTCCTAGTCTCCCGGGCAGCAGAAAACAAGCTTGCTCCCTGCTCCCTATGACTTCCCCTCAAATATTTATACATGGCCCTCATCATGTCTCCTCTCAGCCTTCTCTTCTGCAGGCTAAACATTCCCAGCTCTTTAAGCCACTCCTCATAGACCCTCCTCTGGACAAATTCCAGTTTGTCAACATTTCTCTTCAATTGTGGTGCCCAGAACTGGACACAGTATTCCAGAAGTGGTCTGACCAATGCAGAATAGAGGGGTAGCATAACTGTTTTGATGTTTTGAAGACTTGGCTGTTCCAATGTGCCTTTCCAGAATAGGAAACTCCTAGCATCATGTCCCAAATGCACTTTGTTAGAGAGTTAGGATTGTCTGCAAAACCTCTACATTTCACCTGTCATGTCCAGCACTTTTAAATTTTGTTCATTACATTGGCCCGGCCTTAAGTTTTAAATGCGTCATGGTGTCATTGTTTTTAGTGTTTTATTTTTGTCTGATGTTTATTGTTTTCTTTATGAGTTTTATTGCTGTATTGTTATGTTGTTGTTTTGTTGGCGGCCTTGGCCTTTGTAAGCCGCATTGAGTCCTTCAGGAGATGTTAGCAGGGTATAAATAAAGTTAATAATAATAATAATAATAATAATAATAATAATAATAATGTTTTACCATCCTTGTGGGAGGCTTCTCTCATGTCCGTGTATGGGGAGCCGGAGCTGACAGAGGGAGCTCATCCACGCTCTCCCCGGATTTGAAAGCACACAACAACAACAATCCTATCTCATCAGCCAAAAGCAGGCCCACACTTCCCATTGACATACTAATAAGTTTATATTTGTTAAAATTGTCCTTCATTGTAATTATTGTATTGTTTCTAAGTGTTTTTTGCACTACAAATAAGATATGTGCAGTGTGCATAGCAATTCATTCATGTTGTTTTCAGATTATAATCCGGCCCTCCAAAGGTTTGAGGGACTGTGACCTGGCCCTCTGTTTAAAAAGTTTGAGGACCCCCGTTTTAACCCATTGCACCACTGGGGGGCTCCATCAACCATAGTGATGTCACTGTATCTTGCTCAGTATTATGTACATTGGTAGTTTTTCTCCAGCGTTTCCGGCAGGAGATTTTTCTAGCTGTACCTGGAGATGCTGAGAATTTGACTTGGGATCTCTTGCAGGCATGTAGTTCATATCTACAACAGCCCAACAAAAGGATTACCTGTAAGGAAGCTCAAGAAGGCAGCGGTTCGGACCACTGATATGCCGTATAAGTCATTGTGTTCAAAAGAGACACAAATGCATAGCAATGAGATGAGTCCACAGAAACAAGCCATCAATAGAAATCCTCGGGTCACATGGATTTGGGGGGCTGTGAGCCAGAAAAAAATAAGGGTTATGGCTGGGATCGTCCTAACTTATTGTTGTTGTATGCATACAAGTTCATACCAACTTATGGTGACTTTAAGCTGAACTTATCATGAGGCCTCCTTGGCAAGATTTCTTCAGAGTGAAGAGGAAGGAGGTACAATTTTTTGTGGCTTGGTGTGGTTACAATGACCAACTAATTTCCACAGAAGTGCCAAATGGAGGTCAAGTAATATCAGAACAGAGAAAGACACTTCTGCAAAGGACAATTATACGTGGTCTGCAAGGGCTATCTAGAGGGAATGGTTGCTTTAGCAAGTTCCAATACTAGCGTGAAGATTAGGGAGATTTGCAAGGCTCACCCTCACTTCATTCCACGAATTAAGAAAGATAATCCTCAAAAAAACCCCAAGGAGTATGGGGAGCAATGTTTTTAGGCCCTCTCTTCTCTCTGATGTCCAAGATGGGATTTTTAAAAATTCTTATAGGAAGTGGCACAGAAGTCACTGGTATGTTTTATTGATTAGCCCATTGGCCATATCAAAAACATTTGGCAAACACATACACATACAGTACAACATAAGTTAAAATAAACAAGCTGTTAAAAAGGTTCTGATCCAGATCAAATATCTGCATCACCCCTACAGCTTACCCCAATCGACTCTAAATATTCAGTTCTTAGCGGTGTTGCTTTAAATAGGAAAAGGGCCATTCTGTATGTTATTTTAGCATTCTGGCCAGCCAATAAAGATGTCATTTTAATATACAGATCCAAATGTGTTTTATTAATAACTAGCTGTGCCCGCCACGCGATGCTGTGGCCAGCCTTCCTCTTTCTCTCCTTCCTTCCTTTCCTCCTTCCTTCCTTCCTTTCCTTTCCTTTCTTTCTTTCCTTCTCTCCTTTCTTCCTTCTCTTCCTCTTCCCTTCCCCCCCTTTTTTTCCCTTCCCATTTCTCCCTTTTCTTCCTTCTCTACCTATTATTGGATTGCAACTCCCAGCAGTCCTCCTGATCAATCTATCTATCTACTTACCTATCTATCTCCATCTAATCTATCTGTCTGGAGGATTGTTGGGAGTTGCAGTCCAGGAATAGGAAATTGAAAATATGCAGGGACTGGAATGCTCTCAAAGAAATCCAAGGAGAAGAAAGTTTGCATCTTGGAAGCTTTGCATTTGGATCATCCTCCTCTCCTAAAGGGCCTGGTCAAAGGGATGCTGGGAGCTGTAGTCCAGAAGAGGGTGTAGATATGCTATTGTGTGTTTTGTTTGTCGGGGAGTCATTTTTGCATATGCGCTGCTTTTTTGCTTTTTTTGGCATTTTAAGTCCCTTCCGCTGTGTTTTTCAGTGTTTTTATGAGTGATGGTCACTTGTTGGCCTGATAGGTGTATTGTGTCCAAATTTGGTGTCAGTACATCCAGTGGTTTTTGAGTTATGTTAATCCCACAAACAAACATTACATTTTTATTTATATAGACTAGCCATCCCCTGCCACGTGTTGCTGTGGCCCAGTCTGGTGATCTGGATACGTAATGAAAAAGTGTTGGTTTCTAATATATGTTACTTCTTTATGCTTGTGGGTAAATAGCATTTCTTGCTGTTCCTTTGTCAGTGTTGATGTGGAGATTGTCTGGTTTGTCTACTCCGGAACATGCAACATATAATTGTCATTCTTTAGGGGTCCCTTTCAAATCTATGATACTGTATCTGTGTGTGTGTGAATCATATATCTGTCTATATGAATGGCTGGATGGCTTGTTAGGAGGGCTCTGATTACATTTTCTTGCCCTGGTGAAGGGAGTTGGACTGGATGGCCTTAAGTATTTTCTGTTGGTCATGGGGGTTCTGTGTGGGAAGTTTGCCCCAAATCTGTCATTGGTGGGGTTCGGAATGCTCTTTGATTGTAGGTGAACTATAAATCCCAGTAACTACAACTCCCAAGTATCAAGGTCTATTTTCCCCGAACTATATCTGTGCTCATATTTGAGCATATGGAATATTCGTGCCAAGTTTGGTCCAGATCCATCATTGAGTCCACTGTGCTCTCTGGGTGTAGGTGAACTAAAAGTCCCAAACTCAAGATCAATGCCCACCAAACCCAGTATTTTCTGTTGGTCATGGGAGTCCTGTGTGCCATGTTTGCTTCAATTCCATCATTGGTGGAGTTCAGAATGCTCTTTGATTGTAGGTGAACTATAAATCCCAGGAACTACAACTCCCAAATGACAAAATCAATTTTTTTGAGTGATGGTCACTCCTTGGGTTAGTAGGTGTCTTGCAGCCAAATTTGGCAGCAATTCGTCCAGTGGTTTTTGAGTTATGTTAATCCCACAAACGAACAATACATTTTTATTTATATAGCTATATGGCCCAATGTATTGGTTTCGCTATTTCTTGTACAAGTTACAACTAAACAGTACATGTGCAATATCTTCTTCCTCTGATTCTCCACAGATATAAAATGGTTCATTATATGGAACTTGGTTAAACCTTCCATGTTTGACCATTGTATCAATTGGCACAGAAGTCAATTCTGGGTCACCTCATGATGGAAAGATCCCTCTCCTTGGTGGAAAACTGTAAAATGTGGTGAAATTGACCCACACACTGAACTACACACCCCTTGGGGCCATAGAGTTCTGGGGGGCACTGTGGTCATGATGGGTGGCTATGGGGTATATATTGATTAGAAACAATGGGGTACACTGGTGAGGGACTCAGAAGATCTAGATTCTAGAGCAATGAGCCACAAAGTGCACTGCGTAATCTGGGGTCATTCCGTATTTCTCAAACTAAGTTGACATAAAAGACTGTTATAAGGTTAAAGTGAAATGATGCAGCTACACTGTAGTATGAATGCAGTCCAGCATCACTTTAACAGACATGAATAAATGCTATGGAATCCTGGAAGATGTAGTTTGGTGAGACACCAGCAGTCCTTGGCAGAGAAGGCTAAAGATCTTGTAAAACTACACTTCCTGTAATTCCATAGCATTGAACCATGGCAGTTACAGTGGTATTAAACTCCATTCATTCTACAGTGCAGAAATATGAATAGATGCCACCTTGAGGTCATTGGAGAAAATAATAACACAGGCCTTTCATACAAAACTTTTTTTTTCAAAATTGTAGTTGTATTTGGGGGTGGTAAATTGGAAAGGAAAACACTATAAAATTCCATATGCATAAAACTTCTTCTATTTCAATTAATCTGGTATTTTTTTAAGGACTGGTCATAAACCATAATAAAGACTGATTGATTGATCTGGGTCAATTGATTAATTGACATATATCTGTTCATTGACACATACATCTAGTGGAACCAGTGTGGCATAATGAAATATATATCTTGGACTATGATTTTAGAGAACAGGATTGAAATCCCTGCTTAGCCCTTGGGCAAGTCACACTTTCTCAGCTTCAGAATACTCCATGAAAGTCACCATAAGTCTTCAATGACTTCAAGGCATACAGTGGGAGAGGTCTTACCTAATAAATGGAACCGATAGAAAGTGCATGTTGGACCCAAGCAGATCCTCCAGAGTCCACCATGGACCAGTCCTTTGCGGGTAGATTCCAGCATCCAGTAAGAAGTACTCAGCGAAGTGAACTGCACCACGAGACTACCTGCAGAGCAAATCCCACTGCTGAACTTCAAGGGATCTGACAAGAATGGGTTTGCTTGCTGTGACTCCACGCTACTTGTGTCTCTCAAGGAAACGGTGGCATGTTCTCTGTGTGAAGGGGCAGAGGCAGCATCATTAATGGAGCTCGGAAGTGTTACATTCTCGGAAGACAATTCACAAAACCCTCCAGTTGTCACAGAAGGGGCTAACAGGTTATTCTAGGCACTGCAATCTTTAAAAAAGACCACTTTCAAAGCTCTTGTTAAATTGCAACCCTGCTAGATAAAATGGCTCGGTTAAGGCCACCAGTACACCACGTATCATGAGATTACCTGGTGTACTGAAAAGACAGTGATACTCGGTAAATTGGAAGAAAGAGGAAGGCTGCAGCATGAGTGGATCAAGTCAATCAAGAAAGTCATGTTCATAGAATCATAGAGTTGGAAGAGACCTCATGGGCCATCCAGTCCAACCCCCTGCCAAGAAGCAGGAAAATAAAATTCAAAGCACCCCCAAAAGATGGCCATCCAGCCTCTGTTTAAAAGCTTCTAAAGAAGGAGCTTCCACCACACTCGGGGGCAGAGAGTTCCACTGCTGAACGGCTCTCACAGTCAGGAAGTTCTTCCTAATGTTCAGATGGAATCTCCTTTCCTGTAGTTTGAAGCCATTGTTCTGCGTCCTAGTCTCCAGGGCAGCAAAAACAAGCTTGCTCCCTCCTCCCTATGACTTCCTCTCACGTATTGCAAGACATGTGCAGAACTGACAATAGCAGAGTCTCTAGAATATCTCTCATTCATATGCTCTCTATAAAATCCAAGCTAACTTCCAGAGAGAGAGAGAGAGAGAGAGAGAGAGAGAGAGAGAGAGAGAGTATAGAATTGTGCTATAGCAGTGGTTCCCAACCTTTTTTTTTTTTTTACCATGGACCTCTTAACCAGGGAACACTTTGACGAGGGACCACTTTCCAACATTAGTACCAAAAGGGTTACAAATTGGTTTTTGGTCAACTTTAGATTTGGTTTGGTTATTTGGGGTGCTAAAAATTGCATTGGAGAGACCACATCAGCTCTAGTTTCTGATACAGAACATATGCCATCCAGTAGTCACAATCTGCTCACCCACAGAAAACCATATTTAAGAAGCCTCGGCACTATAAGAGGGTTTTGTAAAACCTGTCGCTTTCATTGCAACATAGAATCATAGAGTTGGAAGAGACCTCATGTGCCATCCAGTCCAAACACCTTCCAAGAAGCAGGAAAATTGCATTCAAAGCACCACCAACAGATGGCCATCCATCCTCTGTTTAAAAGCCTCCAAAGGAGGAGCCTCCACCACACTCTTCGAAATGTTCAGATGGAATCTCCTTTCTTGTAGTTTGAAGCCATTGTTACTACAGTGTAGTAACAATGAGGCTGAGGCCCATATTTTAGTTCCACGGACCACAGGTTGGGAACCACTGTGCTTTAGGATAAATAGAATCTGATTCTTCATTAATTTCATTTGTGAAATAAACAGTATATAATTTTAGCATTTTTTTCCTGCTGTGAGAAAAAGTCTCCAAAGCTGTGTGGATTTTAAAGGCACACAGGAACTGTCTTAAAACCTGGACCCAGATGTGATCACTATTTTCATTATTACACATGGAGTATCTATGAATCTATCCACATTATCTATCTATCTATCTATCTATCTATCTATCTATCTATCTATCTATCTATCTATCTATCTATCTATCTATCTATCTTGGTTGCTGGATTTCTAGAGGAGTCTTAGAAATCTGAGATGGTGGCTTAGACATTGGACTAGAGAACAGGCAGGGCTTAAAAGCTGGAAATGATATCTTGTGGGAATGGGAGACAGACTCCAGCCATGCTTTGTAGACTGAGGTGCCACATGATGTGGGATGAGTGCAAATAAGAGTCAAGCAGAAAACAAGCCGTTCTCCTCAAATTGTATTCTTTCTCATGGAAGCCTTAAGAATGAGGATAATCCCTTCCCCACTTTTTCCTCCCAGAAGAGGTTCTCCCTCAGCCACACCTTTCTGTATTTCGAGGTAGCATTTTGGGAAAAAGGGGACGATGGCAAAAGAGTGTTCTCTTCCTGAAATCAAGGACAGTTACTTCGGCGACCACCACTGTCCCATCCAGTGCCAAGTGTGGGAATTCCAACCAGCCACCTGCAGGGATTCCAGCCAATCAGATTCAGGGCAGCCAACAATGGAAAGAGTGCTGATCTCTTCTAATCTTTGGAAAGCATGCCACATCTTTCTTCACATTGTTGCATTCTTATGTGAGCAGATTCCAACCCCATTGGGTTGCTGTAAGTTTTTCGAGCTGTATGGCCATGTTCCAGAAGGATTCTTTCCTGACGTTTTGCCTGCATCTGTAACTGCTGGCATGCCACGAATGAACTCCAGGATTCAAGATAACAGACCTTATGGGCCATCCAGTCCAACCCCATTCTGCCAAGAAGCAGGAAAGTTGCATTCAAAGCACCCCCGATAGATGGCCATCCAGCCTCTGTTTAAAAGCTTCCAAAGAAGGAGCTTGGGCAGATTCACATGGGAGGAGAGAAGAGCAGAGCATTGGGAGAAGACAGAGCAGAGCATGCTACTCTGTCTGACTCTGGCCATGGTTATTTGAAGGATACTATTCTCCCATATGAATCTGCCCATTCTTCAAGATGTTTCTGAGGAGGCCCTTCTCCCTGAACCACCACCCTTATCTGTTGTGGGAACCCAGAAGACAGCCTTCTTGCTGGCTGCTTTAGGAAATCCCTTTCCTAAATACTTTCCTCTGCCTTTAGTTCTTCTTGTGTGCCTTGGAGTTGTTTCCAACCTGTGGTGGCTGTAAGGTGGCCCATCGTATGGCAAGATTTGTTCAGAAGAGGTTTGCCATTGCCTTGTTTGTTAGCTGACTTGCTCAAGGTCATCCAGTGGGTTTCATGGCTGAGCAAGGATTCAAATCCCGTTTTCCGGAGCTGCAGTGCAATGCTCAAAACTACTACACCATGCTGGCTTTCTGACAGCTCAATTACATTTCTGTATGCTGAGTTTTTAAAAAATAAGCTGCATTGAGTCCAAGACTGAGGAAAAAGTGATATGATAAGGATAATTTCTTGTTGCAAACCCATTTTGCTCAAAGTCTGCTTTTATTTGCCTTGTTTCAGCTTCAGAATTCCTCTGCACAGAAGATGCATGTAGATGTTGTTGGTGTGAGATGCTTTTTTTGGACTTTTTCTGGCCCTCGGCATTAGCAGCCCTTGATTAATCACTTGCTAAAGGTTATTCCTTGCTGCCAGAACTATCTGTACTCCAATATTGCCTTGAAGATAAGAATTTAATCCGAGGATTAAAGCTGCTGTTTTTCAAAAACACTAACGAATTCAGCCCCACCCATCTTTTTATGTTTCAGACATATTTACATTTGATGAATCCCCTGGTGGTGTAGTGGGTTAAACCCTTGTGCCGGCAGACAGGTCGGTGGTTCAAATGTAGGGAGAGCGCGGATGAGCTCCCCATGTGAGCTCCAGTTCCCCATGTGGGAACATGAGAGAAGCCTCCTTCAAGGATGGTAAACCATCAAAACATCCGGGCATCACTTAGGCAACGTCCTTACAGATGGTCAATTCTCTCACACCAGAAATGACTTGCAGTTTCTCAAGTCACTCCTGACATGGAAAAAATTTACATATGATATTCTACAAAATGGATTGTGCTCTTTATCTTTTTCATAGTATGTATCTGTACTACTGTGTTGTTATATAAAGGCTGGGGGCATTCTATGCTTTATCTGAAACCTGAGTCACTTGCATTCTACAGAATAATAGTCCTGTGATGTTATGTTCATATTAACTGTGGAATCATGGGATTTGTTGTTTGGTGAAGCACTAAAATTTACTGGCAGAGAATTCTAACTACTACATGAAATCCTATATTCCAGGATTCTAGTCATAGGGTTGTTTTGAGTGTTTTGGGCTGTACGGCTATGTTCCAGGAGCATTCTCACCTGATGTTTTGCCTGCATCTATGGCAGGCATCCTCAGAGATTTGTTCAGAGGTTTGTAGAAATGAGGCAAGTGAGGTGTATATATGTCTATGGAACATCCCTTTTTTGCCCTGGGACTGCATTGTGGGCCTGGCCAGGAGGGAGGGTGGGGTGGGACTGGGAGTGGGGTGGGCCATGAAAGAAGTGGGGCTGGGTTGGGGGCAGGAGGGGCAGGGTGAGGTCAGGAGGGGCAGGCCAGGAGACCTAATTATTCCTATAGCAGTATAATGGAATCATAGAATCAAAGAGTTGGAAGAGACTTGTGGGCCATCCAGTACAATCTCCTGCCAAGAAGAAGGAAAATCGCATGCAAAGCACCCCCGACAGATGGCCATACAGCCTCAGCTTAAAATCCTCCAAAGAAGAAGCCTCCACCACACCCCGGGGCAGAGAGTTCCACTTTTGAACAGATCTCACAGTTAGGATCACCCTCAGGCTTTCCTCCCAGCATAAGGATGGGGCTGCTCACCCAGTCCTTATGCTGGGAGAAAGGTGATGCTTTGGAGGTCCCTCAGCCCCTGCTTGCTTCTCCCTTTTGCCAGCATCTGGATGGAGCCTTGCCTTTTGCTGACTCTGGGAGATGTAAGAGCAAGCAGCAGGTGAGGGAGTTTTGGAGCTGCTTCGCCCGCCACTTGCCTCTTCACCCAGGTAATGCTTTTCCTGGCATCAGGACAGGCCTTGTCTTGTCCTGATGTTGGGAGAAGGGAGAATCAAGTGATAGATGAGGCAGCCTTGGAGCAGCTCCACTCATCACCTGCCTCCTTCTTCATGCTGGGCTTCTCCCAGCATTGGAACAGAACCACTCGCCTTGTCCTTATGGCGGATGGAGGGCCCATGGAACACACATGGTGACTGAGAGGACTCGGGCTCCCAACTGCTGCATGCCTTCCTCCCTCATCTTTTTGGCATAAGGACGCAGCAGGCTGCCACATCCTTAGGCTCAGACAATGGGGCAAATTTTGAGGGCCGGACATAAGGGCCCAGAGGGCTGTATCCAGCCCGCGGGCCTTAGTTTACCCCTGCCTGTTGTGGAACCATGGGAGATATAGTTTGGGGAGGCACCGGTACTATTTGGCAAAACAAGAATAGGAGAAAATGCAACTACATTTCCAGGGACACAACTTTGATCCATGTAAATCTTGGCATGCTTGTAATTTAAGGCTAATGTCCTTTATTTTCAAATAGATGACTATTGCTATTAGACAGAGGTGTTTTTAAAAAATATTTTATTTAAGATTTTTAAAACTTAACATTTAAATAATGAACCTGAAAAAGTACAATCATTTGAGGGAAATGACAACATTATTAAAAATAACTCAAAGTGTTGTGCTTCCAGTTTATCTTTCTATGTTGTCATATTCATTTTTATTCTGGGGAGGCTCCTTCTCCAAGCACTTCATATGCAGAGCCTAGATCAGTCAGTATTATTGTTCTTAGATTCCAGACAAGGTGAAAGAAGGGAGTAACAAAATCACCCAGTGAGTACAAAGGCTGAGATGAAATTCAAATCATGGACCACCAGACTATGCTGTTTGTCTCCATGCTACACCAGAAAACAGGTCAAGGGATGTGTTTGTCTGTAAACATTATAGTCTTGAATGGTCGGTGTTTTTCTGGAAGCATTTCCATCCCTTTCCATGTCCCTGGTTTTTCAGAAGCAACTCATACATTCTGTTTCAGTGCATACAGTTAGCAGATGCCAGCTAAGCGCTGGCATTTGTGAATCTTGTAGGCACACATGTAAAAGATACCTGCAGATCAGAAGGCAAGATAGAAAACAGAAAGGTGAAAGGTTATATACTCTTTTCACATTGGAAATAATTCTGTAGCATCACATAAAAAAAATTAAGCAAGTACAGGGGCTAGTAGACTGTAGTATGTGAATTGGAAAATGATTTTAGTAAGGAGTCACTGAGGATTTATGTTGTTATTGGGTTTTTTATGATTTGTATATTATTTGCTAAATGTTTTAAAATTGTAATTTATGTTGTTGGGAGCATCGAATTGTGTCGAATTGTGTAAACCACCTTGAGTCGTCTTCTGGCTGACAAAGGTGGTATATAAATACAATAAATAAATAAATAAATAAATCTGAAATCCCAATTACAAATTTCCAACAAAAATAAAACAATTGCTGCAAAAAATTTCCCTGCCACCCACTTTAGAGGGTGAAAAGAGCATTTTGTTTATATTTTAATTTTTGCTCACAAAATGCTCACATTAATAAATAGCACTGATTCCTTTGCACACATTGATAAAAATCATCAATTCCTTTGACTTCCATTGTTTTGTCATTTCCCAAGTCTGTGTCCCAGATGGAATGGGCAATAGCAGGGCTGTAGCCAGAAAAAAAATTCGGGGAGGGTTGAAAATTTTTGGGGGGGGGGTGTTTTGAAATTTCGGGGAGGGTTGAAATTTGGGGGGGGGGGTTGAAACCTGCCTCTTAGCTCACGCTGAAGCAAAGAGCACAGCAGGGGCAGAGCAGCGTTCAATAGCCTGCAGCTCTGCCCCTGTCAACCACCTCCACCAAGTCTGGTCTCCATGAGGGCCTTCAAATCTAACCCCCCCCCCAACTTGGTTGCTTTGCTACATCAGCTATTGCTGCAAGTAATGGCAGTGTGAATAAATTGTCAATATTTGCTTGAGATAGTGCTTGCAGTTCTGGAGGGACTCTTAATTTTTTGCATCTCATAGACTTAGCATGGGGATTTGGTTAACCAGTTAAAATTCATGAGTAAACCAGGTTTTTTTTAAAATCTGAAACATTTCGGGGGGGGGGGGTTGAACCCCTAACACCCCTCCCCCCCCCTCGCTACAGGCCTGGGCAATAGTCAGGCTTTCATTTCACCTTTGGAAGGGCTAGTGCTAATGGGATCAAGACTGTTTCTCAAGAGTGAAAAGCACCAGGATTACCTGCAAAGAAAGTCAACAAGAGGGCAACCCATCCCAAGATGTAGGACCAGGAGAAGCGCCAATCTCCAAACCGTTTGCCCAGGAATTTGACGGTGACTCCGGTGTAAAGGCCCATTGCTAAAGCTATGAACAGTGCTGGGTAGGACAGTGGAGGAGAGAGAAGAAAGTTGAGAACAGAAAAGGATGAAGTTTAGTCTTCAAAACAATGGAAATCATCATGATAGCCAAGATTGGATCAGGCAGGGTTGTCAGTTTAGGATCATCTCAGTCCTGCCTGGGACATTATTGCTGGATGAGATACAACAACTGAATATGCTGGCAGCAACAACAACAAAAATGACAACTCACTGGTGACCTGGCTGAGAAAGACTATTTTAAGTTGTTTACATGGTTTGAGCTAGTTTGGAAAGGAGGCAACTCACACGAAAAAGGCACTTACCAGACACAAAGAACAGGACGCCAGCCACAAAGGACCTATTGAAGCGCTGAGAAGTGGAGAGCTGGGCGAAAGAGAGAATCCCCGTAATGACGCCAGCAAAACAAGTGAGGGCAGAAAGGATCATGAAGGCCCGGATGGTGTTCCAGTAGACTGAAGGGAATAAGACTGAGAGAGCAGCTCACTGATAGGTGATGGAAGGTTCAGAGAAACAATCTTTCATCATGATAGTTGCTAGCAAAAGGTTTGGCACCTTTGAGGCACAGCCTAGAAACAGACCCACGTTGGACTGGGGGAGGCATTTCCTTGGGGCATCCAGCCAACACGGTCATCCTGGTACCTTCTCAACTAAACTGTGAGCTTCTAGACTGGAGACACTATTGCAGAAGCCTATTATTCCACTGCAGTTGTTCATGCACTATAGTGGCAACATACTAAGATAGGAACCCTTGTTATTGCACATCCATGGATTGTTGCAGCTGCACCAATTTGCCAAGCTGTGGTCACATTACTACATAAGCCCTCTTGTACATCTGCTGCTCAGCAATTTTTCAAAATATTTTTAAAAACTATTTCACATTTCCAGTTAAGGTTATGTTTTTTTAAAAAAAACAAATTAAATTTACAATCAAAAATGGCAAGAGGGAGACCAAGAGAGTCCAACCATCTGACATCATTTCAGTTTTAGGAGGCGTGGTGGCGCAATGAGTTAAACCCTTGTGCCAGCTGAACTGCTGACCTGAAGTCGGTGGCTCAAATCCATGAGATGGGGTGAGCTCCCATTTGTCAGCTCCATCTTCTCATGTGGGGACATGAGAGAAGCCTTCCACAGGATGGTAACACATCTGGGCATTTCCTGGGCAACGTCTCTGCAGACGGCCAATTCTCTCACACCAGAAGCAACTTGCAGTTTCTCAGGTCGCTCCTGACATGAAAAAAACCCTTTGTTGCCATTTTTGAAACATTAACTTTGTCTTCCTTTGTCTTAAAACTAGCCAGAATAGTTACTTTTTGTTGTCTTTTTTTCAAAAGCAATCTAAACACCGGATGCTCAAACCTATGACATAAAACACACTCCTTCAGTCACCCTTATTCCAAACTCAGCATCCACAACAGAGCACAAGCCAGAACTTGAACTATGTAAGTCCCCCCTTCATTATTTAAAGAAGTCGTATGCCTCATAAGAAAGTAATTTAAAAGGTGCAATTCCATTGGAAAAGGAGTAACATCAGCTTTGATAAATAACAATGATAACAAATAACAATGATAACATGTCACACATTATATTATACTTTGTAAGGTGATTTCAGTATCTTTGGGCCCTTCCACACAACCCTATAACCCAAAATATCAAGGCAGAAAGTCCCACAATATCTGCTTTGAACTGGGTTATCTGAGTCCACACTGCCATATATTCCAGTTCAAACCAGATAATATGGGATTTTATTCATCTGTGTGGACAGGGCCTTAGTTGCTATTTGGACAAAGGAATTCAAAACAATCCACCTCTCTGGAATTCCCTTAAGGGCTAACCTCCTGATGACAAAAGCATTGGTTACTATCTCAAATTTAGTTTAGTTTTGGCCTCTTCATTCTATCAATTCCAAGATAAAATGCCTTTCTCAAGAGGTTTAAAACTAAAATATAATTGTACTTTTAGCCCTACCTTTTGCCATTGGGTCAGTACTTTATTACTACCAAAGAAATGTGAAATTAACTCCACCCTTGGGTCTGAAAATGTCTTCCCCTCTTTTCTTTTACATAGTCTGGCCCTGGGGTTACATCCAGCCTCTGAATGCTGTTTTTGTGGCCCTTAGCTCTTTCACATTCCCAGAATGCCCCTTGTCTCTCCAAAAATAAACGAAGCCTCCCCTACAGCCTCCAAGATGAGCAATTCATCATTTAAAGACACTGCAGAAGCCTTGCGGCCCTATTTAATTCCAATTACTTATAAAACCGGTAATTATGTTTTGGGCAATTCTATTTTTACTTTTCACTTCTTTGAACAGTTTTGGACAGTCTGCACTGGCTCCCTGATCTGATACAGTTGCCCATCTCTTCCCGAAAACATGACATGTTTTTAAGAATTAGGATATGGTTCTTTGCCCAACGATTATCCTATCCAACACATCTGGAAGGCTACAGTTAAGTAAAGCCTTCCCCAGTGAATTCTGGGAGCTGTAGTCCAAAAAGTAAGCTTGCCAAATTGAAGTCTGGACTCCCTTTTGTACCCCCAGCTCCAAGCCGCCTCTTACCGATCCTCTCCATCTGCATGTAGCATTTACCAGGAAAGCAGTACCTCCAGAGCCCCTGGTGAGCAAAGGTGCCAGCAAACCGGTACTGCATCCAATAGTCGGTCACTGTAGACACCACCAGGAGGACGTTCCCCACAGAGGCACAGAGCAAGCCTCCACCCATGAAGCTGTACATCCCTGCCTTAATTCTGAAGAAGCAATGGAAGAAATGCAAGGGTTAGTGGAAAGGTGGGAGCAAGAAAGTTGGCAGGGCTGCTATTTCAGTTTTCCTTAAAGCACTGGTGCTCAACCTGTGGGTCCCCAGATGTTTTGGCCTTCAACTCCCAAAAATCCTAACAGCTAGTAAACTGGCTGGGATTTCTGGGAGTTGTAAGCCAAAACAACTGGGGACCCACAGGTTGAGAACCTCTGCCCTAGAGAGCTTGGTGGTGCCTCTGGAGATTAAAAATGCAGCCCTAGGACATACAAATGGCCTACAGGCCACACTTTGCTCACTACTGCTTGTAATACTATTTGGGGGAGGGGGAGCAAAGAGACTTTGGAGAGTGCCTTTGAAGTCTGAACTAAGATTTCAAAATGATTCAGTCTGGCATCGAATTTCCTCTTAGACAGAAGAGATGAACTGATTCATTGTGTCCTATTTTTGACCTCCTGCCTTCTCCTTTTGTGTATACGAGATAGGGAACCAGACAGTGGAACCAGAGAGCCGTGGAGGAAAATCAGATTTAAGTAGTTTTGTTGCACTAAACCTTCTGAGATATCCACAAAGGAAGGTAAGACAACAGTTCCCTCCAGGAGAATGCCTCTAGACCATGGCCATATAGGCTGAAAAAACCTACAACAACCCAGTTCTCTCCAGCGTTATACTGCCACTGCAACTTGAAGTCCCGTCAAACTGTCCCAGACAATTTATTCAACCCATCCTTCGTGAAGTCCCCTTGAACGTAGGGAAGTAACCATCCTACCAGTTCTCTGAACTACAAGGGTCCAGTCCTGTATTTCTAGAGTAATGCTCAGAACTGTTTAGTTCTATATGTTTCATTTTGGCTTTGGATACATGATGGGGACTGTGGGCTCTCCAAGTATTCCAATTTCCATCATTTCTTATCATTGCAACTAGCAAACTACCCGGAAGACACATAATCTCATCTGATTTCAGAAGAAAACAAAGGCAGTTGTTTTGACACGAGACTCACCTCAGACAAAGGTTTGTTTCTCTCCTTGTTCCTCTCTCTGTCATTATGTCATTCAGAAGAAAACAAAGGCTACTGCACTTGGATAGGAGACTAACAAGGAATACCCAAATACTACAGGTATTGTAGAGACAATGCTACCGGTGAGAATTTGCATTACTGGGCTGGATAGATTGATGGCATGACTCAATGTAAGGCTGCTCCTTTTGTTCCTCACCATTGCTTACTCTTACAAGAGATGCAGTCCAAAGGCCAAACAACTGGAAGGCCAAATGTCCCCCCCCTTCTTTTCCATGCATTTTTGTGTACATTCAAGCTGTTGTGTACATTCTGATTTACAGTTACCTTAACATGGAGTTCTCAGAAAGCAAACTACATCTTGATCTTAGGATGAGAGAGGGAAATCCAGGCCTGGGCAGGGATCTCAACCCTGGTTTCCCAAAGTCTTAGCCTGAATCTACACTTCCAAATAATGCCATTCAAACTGCATCATTTGGTACTGTAAATCCAGCCTTTAGTCTGACACTCAAATGACTATAGCATACTGGCTCTTCTATGTATTGATAGCACAACTGTCTCTATGAATACTTTGAATTCATAGCTTTGAGCAGGGATTTGAACCCTGGTCTTCCAGTATCCTCATCCAACACTCAAACAACATCACATTAGTACTCCTATATATTCATAGCACATTTTAAGTCCAACTACAAGCAGTCCCTGAATTACAAACGTCCAACTTACAAATGACTTACAATTACAAATGGGGGAAAGACGTTCATTTCTGAAAGAGTTATCATAGAGAAAAGGTGTCCCCACTGAAGCTTTCTCTCTAATCCTTGTTTTCACAACAAGCCACATTTTTCAAAATCCAATTATCACAGGAACAAGAAGTGAGGTTCAATCTTCTGAACAGGGGCACATACAGAAAAACAAATACTACATGGGTCTTAACCCTTCCTTGTGGTAGCAAAAGCTTATCTATTCCATGTTGCATGGAATTAATGATGTGGTAAAGGAATAAGTTGTCTTTTCTGCAAAAGTCAGATTATGAATGTCAAGATCCAAAATGCTCTTGACTGACTTGCAGGCTTCCATATTTGTTAGCATTAAGAGTGTGTCCAAAGACTGGCAATTGCTTCAATCTTACTGAGAATCAAAGAATACCATTCTGAAATAAAATTATCTGATAACAGAGAGGAAATAAAATGGTCAGGGTCTGCTTGAAGATGTATTTGCAGTAGGCTTGGGCACAGATTCATTATGGATGTTTACCTTTGGCTTGTTCAGTTGTGTTGGCTTTCATCCCTGACTGCACAAGTCTCCAGTTCTCAATGAGCAGTTAAACTGGATAGATTAGAGTGAGGGGGATTCGTGAAACTAGTTAGCTTCAAGAAACTTTCCTATCAAGAATGGATTTCTTTTATCTTTAATAAACATATTATTTTTGATCCTATGAAGTTGTGGATCTGCAATCCTGTTCCATCCTGTCGAATGGAAGCCAATCCTTGCTCGTAAGTTTCTGTTGCTTATGAACTGTGCATCGGGCACTCTGCTATATTTTTGTGGAATCACCCCCAGAGAAGGTTATTTTTGAACCTAACAGCTCCTGATTCCCAACAAGTTAGTTTGGAAGCCTGTAATGGCATGGGCTTCGCTGCCATTCTTTTACCAGCCACAACAGAACAGTGGCTGTCGAAAACCGGCTGCTTTTGGTTATACATGGAGTGCGGGGAGGGAGGCAGCTGCTAGAAGGAAAGTGTGAAGGGGGAAAAGGCACCACTCCAGCATTTCCAAAGAGAGGGCTTTTTAAAGAAAGCCCAAGTTAAGATACCTCCAGGTCGATCCCTCTTCCTTCCTTGGGAAATAAGAAACCTCCTTAAAATGCCTTGGGAAATCACCTGCAGCACCTTGTCTCCTGTAGAGTAGAAACAGCTTTAACAAAGCATTAAACCTGGTCTCCTCTACAGACAAAAGGGAAAGGATCGCAGAAAGACTGGTATCTTAACTTCAGTGCTTTTAATCCAGGTCTTAATGAAGGATATAAGGACAACAATGCCTAAAATGATGGGAAGCTGAGCCTGTGGGAAGTCCCCTCCCCTCATAATCACCAATGGGTCGGATAGAAAACTAATCTTTTGACTTCCCAGATCCAAAATGGATTTCTGTCCTTCTGAATTCAGGAGGTTCCTGAAAAACCAACCAGGACCCCCATTAGAATCCAGGACACTGAAATGGATCACAGTTTATCTGGATTGCACAAGCCTAATAAGCAGCCATTTTTAAAGCTCTCATCCATGCCAATGTTTAAAGTGTGGTTTGACCCTGTTCTGACTTACAAACCAATTCAATTTAAAAACAAACCTACAGAATCTATCTTGTTTGTAACTTGGGGACTGCCTATATAGCTATGTACAACATTTATTCAAAGCACATTGTATTTCCAGCAATCCCATCTATCCCTACCCCTTGTAGTTTCTTCAGCTGCTGTCCAAAACACATCTCCAACTGGTGATAGTCCTACCTGGACACCCTGGGAGTCACCTGTTTCCACTCTTGTCTTTGTGTTCTGGACTCCCCACAAAGTGTTTCCAAGCCCCTCCAATTATGGCATCTGTTGCTGGGTACGTTTAAAGGTCTCTATGCCTGACTGAAAACAGAAGGTGAAGTTTGCGCGAAACACAGCAGTGTGGTTGCTTCCAACAGGCAAATATGCATCGACAGCAGAGCATTCTCTGGAGGCAATGAAAACTGCTGACTCTCCAATCATGGGGGCAGCCAGGCTTCCATAAAGGCACCCACTGACAACGAAACCCTATATTAGTCAATTGACTTGCTTAGAGATCAGTCGACTCATCCAGAAAGGGGATTTGAGCTGCTGCCTTGCATTGCTGCATTGTTAGGAACACCAGAGCTGGCAACCTCCGCATCTCTTGGGACTACAACTCCCATCAGCCCCAGCTCACCATGATGCTTGGGAATCAAGAGTGTAGCTGCCATGGGGCATTTTGCGCTGACTCAATAAAAAAAAAACTGTGGCCCCACCACGATGATCTTTTCCTTGAGGCCCCAAATATCTAGATTCTGCTTCCAAAGAACAAGAACAGGTAAAGTGACAAAAATATTACAAGTAGATACCTGCCTAGTCTATGTGTTCACATTTTATTGAGATACCTGCCTAGTCTATGATATTTTTTTCTGTGTCAAATCATTGCATAAAAAGCAATGCTTTGGGGTTGGATAGATTAGACGTTTACAAGGAATGTCACTCAGGGGACGCCCAACTGTATTTATTCAGAGGAGGGTTTCCCCGTGTATCTGGATGTACTTGGATGAATCTGGAAACCAGGGGTGAAATTTTGCAGACCGTCCCAATGGACAAACTTATGTATTGGAGAATCTACAGTGTGACTTTTCCATAGCAAACGAAATATATTTTTAGTAATGTTCCTAATGTTTTTCATTCACCAACGTTTATCAATTTATGCTACTTCTGACTCTTTTTAATTTTTTGTGATTCTTGCTTGGAATTGTTGACATTTTTTTCCAACTAATATTTGTCAGATGGCAGCTTAAACCTTTGTTATAAATTGGGGGACATACTTGAGCAGTATATTGTGCAATGCACTTTAAATATCTGTGTTTACAACAAATGAGCAGAGCTCAATTCAGCCACAGGAGGTCACCAATACACAGTGTTTCATGGGATCACTTTCTAGGAATTCATTGCCTATCTAGGAGCCCCCACTACCGCAATGGGTTAAATCCCATGTGCCGGCTGGACTGCTGACCGATAGGTCAGCTGTTTGAATCTGGGGAGAGCAGGTTGAGCTCCCTCTGTCAGCTCCAGCACACCATGCCAGGACATGAGAGAAACCTCCCATAAGGATGGTAAAAACGTCAAACATCAGGGCATCCCATAGCCTAGGCAGTCTTTGCAGACGGCCAATTTTCTCACACCAGAAGTGACTTGCAGTTTCTGAAGT